AATGAAAGTTATATTAAAAAAAATCTATTTTTAAACCAAATTTTCGCATGATTGAAATGATTATTCATGTTTAAATGTTTTTTTTGTAAATGATTATAAAAAATTACTCCCTACGAAGACTTTATTGTGTACTGGATCAAAAAATAAGTATTTGTTTTCTCTATACGGTGGTATTAATATATCGATTTTTGATGATAGTGCCCTTTTACCCGGTCTAATTTTGTACTACATTCGGAATAAGGGTCCCCATAGCATGTACTGTACTTCCATCCCTGAAAAATTCAGCTTGTGACACCGAAGTGAGAGGTAAAGTCAAAATAAACTTTAATCTACCTCCATCATAGGTAGGTGTAGGTACTCTAGGTATATTCTACCTAGACAGTAGCTGAACTAGCTGACAGTAGTAATTAATTTGTTATCCGATAAGTAGTTGTCATTATATAAGTTTAATCATCTTATACCTCCTATAACGGTAGGTTTTGGATTTTTCCTGATTGGTTTGTTAAACAAAAATATAATGGGCATATAAATGTCTGTTACAGGTTAATTTTTTAAAGAAATATGTTACACACATAGTATTTTAATAATAATAGTATAATAATAATGGCTATATTATGTTATAACACATACATATGTATTGAATGTACTTATTTTAACCAATGCATTGTTTTGTTTTTTTAATCTCACAAATAAGAAATGTTTTATAGTTTTTATTATAAAAAACAGTGATTATACAATTTATTTACACCCCTTACACTGTTTTCTGTAAGGGGTGTAACCAGGAGTATATTTCGTAACCTTAACGATAACCTTACGATATAAGAGGGCACAAAGTGTTTTATTACTTAATGCTTAGATTAAAATTTAATAATATATTTGTACATAAAATAAAATAGACTAGAAAGTAAATTAATTAATATTGACGTAATTACTAAATAAGTACAAGATTTTTTTTCTAATTATTTTAGTGTATTTTTACTCACAAATAAATGTTTTATGGTTTTTATTATAAAACAAGGATTAATTTATTATACACCCCTTAACACCAACACTCCAAGGAGGATATTTTGTGACCCCTTATTTAAAGTGGACAAGCTTTATTAGTCAATGTTTTAATTACCCAGTGTCTTTAATAAAAATCTAATGTAATTTTTCATAGAAATGATCTGACATAAAAAGCAAATTTTATCAAAAAACTTTTTGATTATCTGACAAATGCCTGTATACTAATGCCAAAGTAATGCCAAAGTAGTACAAATTAAATACCAAAATTTCTCATATAATGCCCCACTAATGCCAAGCTGATTCCAATATAATACCACTAATACTATAGTTAATTTGTGCTAATACCACGAATAATATGTAGAGTAAACGCCACGAATGTTTGGGAGTGATTTATCGCTTGATGAAGTTAGAATTGACACGCGCGCTATCATTTTTACATTAAAAACGCAATTTTTTACAGCAAACGTAGGTTTTTAAAGCCCGGTCTAATCATCTACCTGCGCTCCTCCTACTAATTCTAAAATGTTAGCGTGATTGACAAAGACGATACTATATCGAGTTTCTTTGATTGATTCGTTTTTGTGCGTCAGTCCATTGGTGTGCTTGCAGTGCGATCAATGGGGCATTCCATTTTATATTTATAACCAAATATACGTTTTGACAGTTAAAACAACAAATTACAACAGATTATTATTGATTATTATATGACTTGAAACACCACGGCACTGGAATTAAGTTTTATGTGACCTTGAACAGATTAGTTCACATGGTAGCGACAGATGAATCACTCCCAAACATTCGTGGCGTTTACTATAACACATTTGTTTCACGAATTAACCTGTAACAATAGTGGTAGGTACCTGCACAGATTTTTTCCTAGGTAACTTAAAAGTCGTTAAGAAGTCTAATTATATTTAAAGAAGATATAATTCCAACAAATTACATTTGTAAGGCCAATAATGCACAAGTAATACCATTAAAATTTTAGCCTTTTTAATTTGTGTAACATATTTCTTTAACGAATTAACCTGTAACAATAGTGGTAGGTACGCGCACATATTTTTTCGCTAGGTAACTTATTAAGTCGTTAAACAGGCCTATAAAAGCTATAACAACATAGGTAACTAATATTTATAATTTAATTCGAGTTTTAATCTCAAATAATAAATGTTTTTAGTGGTGTATTTCTGAAGTGTTCATTATTAAAAGTAGATATTCTTCAAGTTATGCGAAGTAATAAGTAATGTTTCCGGTGAGACCGCGTATATGTCACCGGATTCTGGTTAGTATAAAGACTTTTTCTATAGAAGATTTTTTCTATATTTTCCTTTCAAAAAAGACTAATTTCTTCTTATTCTTTTAAATATTACAGTGTTTCTTTTTCCTAAAATGTTATACTTAATTTTCGCTTAAAATTAAAAAAATCACCAAATGGAGGAAAATATACGCTATTGAATAAAGTTTATACAAATCACTTTACCATAACAAAAAAGTAAAATCATGTCATGGCGGAAGATATTCAGGTGGCATTTCACACATTTATCTATTAAAATCGAGATTAAAATAATAAACTTGCGTAACATGTTATACACGAGATAGAAAGTTTCAGAATCGATTAATACGCAATATGCTACGCAGTCAACTTATTCCTATGCGCAGATGAGCGTCTTCAAGACTCTTCCATCGGCCAGGGTCACGACGCCGCCGAAGAGGAATCGGCCTATGTTTGGCTAAACAGGCTGGACACGGTGGAGTACGATATTGGCGAGTCTGAATATTTATAAAAATTTGCAAAGTAAAATATGTTGGAAAAAAAAGGGTTTTTTTGTTGCATCCATCCCGCCGAAACCGCTTTACCAATCTTGATGATTCTTTTTTTAAATGAAAGGTATATATGTGTAGATTTATATTATTATTTATTATAACTTTACTATAAAAATACTTATAATTTATAATTATAAGTATTTTTATAGTGCTTAATGGCTATTTCTTTGTGTAAAACGACTAAATACTAAAACATACCTGAAAAATACACCTACACACAATACCCTAGAAATAAATTATTTGTCATTGTCAGTGGTGTGTCAGTTAGATTGTATATTACGTTTTTAGATATTTTAGGAGTGAGTTCATACCGCCAGCTTTAGATACATAAATATTAGCACAAAGGTTCGTTTAAACGACATTAGTGAATTAGCTACACAAAGCGGTTTTAGGAAATTCATCCTCTTAGAGAGTAAAATTATCTCGGAACAGTTTGTTGTATGAAAATTCCTTACTATTTGGTCTAGAAGAATGAAATCCTACAAAAAGAATTAGAAGAAATTTTTGAAATTCATCAACCAAATGGGTAAAGATAGTAAAAATTTATATAAAACTTGGTGACCTCTGGATTATACACATAAAAATTGGCACAAAGGTAAAGCGAATTTATGAAATTTATACCCTTAGGGAGTAGAATAGGGAATGAAAGTTTGCTCTACGAAAATGCAATACTATAACATTATAAACCAGACAGTAGAAAATTTTATACAAGGGTTTATTTAGTGACATCATAACAAAATATATCTTCCTCAATTATCCTTCAAAGAATAAAAAATAACCTATAAAGAGAGTATTAGTGCTCTTAATAAATAAAAAAAGATGAAAAATAAAAAACATCTATGCTCACTAGCTCTCTATAAAGGAGTAAAAAATCATTTAAATCAATGCATGAAGGATTCGAGATGTAACGGGAACGTAGTCGCGAGAAAAAGCTAGTAATTTATTAAATCACTTTATTTAACTCATTAATTTTCATTGAAAAGGAATTTTTGTAATTCGCCACTATATTAGTTAAAAACTAAGAAACTCATATCAAATTTAAGTTATGCGATTTTGACTTATACTTTTTACAAAATCTGAACACATTTTAAAAGAAAAAAAGTTTTTGATAATATTTGTGTAGATTGACTACAAGTTGTATAACATAAATTTCTACGACCGGTCTACCTAGTGGTCTGCAGCATCGCCTTGTGGTGCAAACGTGGGCCTGTTAATCTGTGACGTGACGCACAACAGCCAAGAAAAACAGAAGCGTGGCTAAGAATTTAGTAATTTAAGAAAAAGTCTTTTAGGTTTGATTATTTTAAATTTGATTAAAAAGTTTTGTGTTTAAATGGGGTTTGCCTTTAACAGTTAAAAAATTATATCGTAAAGTGTAACTTTCCGTAAGAATTCTTTATCTGTCATTGATCATGATCTGTCATCATGTTAACCTGATGTTTTTTATGTTATTTTGTTTTTTTCGAGGTTTTTTTGCTTGCTTGTTTTACGGATAGGTGCGATCGCATAATTATTATTGATAATGTTTTATTTAATGTTAACATTACTACTTTTCAGTGAATCTTTAAATCTGTTGTTTTTTGTTAAGTTCGTTATTTAAACATATGTATGTAATACACTCATATTAACACTAATCATATTTTTACGTTTTTATTCATCATTTTCAATGCCCCTCCGCTCCGGTTGCATCTTTGTAAAGGACTGTGAATTTTTTTGTCCGTTAAGCAAATTTGTTTATCAGTAAACCACTGCTGACAATTATTAGTCTCTGTTGGATTAACGCCAGCAGTGTTTACAAAAAATAACTATTTTATTTTGTAGATTTTCTTACAGTGGCGAAATACCCATAGGATTTTTTTGGAGAGATGAATCCGCCACAGAGGTATGCCAAATTTAAGCATTAATTTGCTAGACTTTGCCATTGCACTGCCGTTGATTAGGTTTATTTCTTTTCCGATTTAAAAACCGATTTTTTCCGATTTGTGAAAAATTTTATTATGGGGGAGGGAGGGTTAATATTTAAACTTAATTAAACTTATCAAATAGTCTCTCAGTTGTGATTCTAATGTAGCAAGTTGCACCTCGCCTTATATAATGAGGTCATATAATATGCAAGGAATATATTCATATTGCTTTATAGGTATTTTACAAAAATGTAAGTATAAAGTTACCGTTATCTAAAAATTTCCTTCCTGCGGAATATTTAAGTCCCATTATACCCTTTATATTAACTTCTTTCTCAAATTCCAAGTCTATGTATCGGCACATATCTGGCGAGAAAAAAGTAATTATACTCTCTTTATTTAAACCACTTGGAAAAAAGTCGCCATCTGATCCTTTAATGTTTCCACAATGATCCGAATAATACGGTGTTTGATTCATTGTCTTCCATGAATACAGTTCTCCTAGTTTTGTGGTCTTTCCTAGTCCCATATTAAATAACCCTTCGTAAGTCATTGAATGGTTCCTCTAAAATTATATATAATAAAACATAAAACACAAAACAATAAATAAAAGAAAAGCAACAAACATGAACTTATACCGTATGAGAACGAATTTGTTGCAAGACCACTTTATTCAATTGCATTTGTTTTTCGAATGATTTTAAACTTTGGTTCAAAATATATTTTATCAAAATTCACATTTCCTATTAGAAAATAAATATTAGATTCGATTTAGAAGGAAATAAGCACAAGCAAACAATTTTAAAGTTATATGTTCATTTACATAAAATTCGCTTTTCAATAATGGTGTCAGAAGTTGGCATTATCTTTCAAAATGGCTGAGTAGTAGAGTGGTATTTCAAATTTAATATGATCAAATTTTGAAGTTACTTATAACAATTACAATTCCTTTATTGTAAAATTTAATAATTTTTCAGTAGATAAAATTACTTTTAGTTTTTATTTAAAATGTTAAATCTGAACTTATATTTACTAATTAGAATGAATAGAATAAGAAATAGGCCTATAAAAATATAAATTATAAATTAAAGTAATAAATACCATAGTAGCAGCAAATTTGTAGGACTATCTATAACTAAGATAGTCCTGTGTATTCAAATACAATATTCGTGAAAGTAGATAAAAATAGAGTTCTTTGGGATAGAAAAAAAACATTATACCATTAACTTTAATATTTTTATACGGGCTGTTGATGGTAAGTAAAATTAATTTAAAAAAAGGCGTCCATTAATCCCAAAGAGACGTGGTTTATAAATACAATAGCCAAAACAATAAGACGAACAAAGAATTTTTTATGAATTTTATGTGTGTTTAGGTAACTAGTTACTACTTAGTTTATGTAACTTAAAATTCCGTAATATTGAATAGAGTAATAACTAAACCAACTAAAACAGCTCTGATGCGCAATCAGTCTGAAAATTAATATTAACTTTATATTATTTTATTATCGTTAAATTGATAATTATTTTAACTTCGAAATCAATTACCAAAAACATAAACAGGGGGTTGTTTACAATCATTGGTTTAAACTTTTCTGTTAAGCAAGAAGTAATATTAATTCCATTTCAGAAATGTGAATGTTTAGAAACCAAAGATTGTATGTTGTACCCGAGTTTCAAATTAAACAATAGTACTTCTTGCAACTAATTGGTTGTTTGTCGTCCAGTATAAATATGGATGGAAATAATTGTCCAGGTATATATACCAAGAAAATTATTTGTAACTATACATAACTAACTTTGGAATGTATATAATACTATATAATATATTCCAAAAGTTTTTTAAAGAAAACAGGATAACGGCAGGTGGTTCATAGAAACAAAGAGCTAATTTTTTAGAAATATCAATATATCAATTCCAATTCTAAATTGTGCCTTATTTTTTCGTAATTCTAACCCAAAATTTTTATCAGTTTGAATTTATTTTATTGTGGGTGTTTCAAAAACGATGTACTTAAACAGCCGTTAAACGGTAGCCTACTAAAATACCGTTGATAGATATTGTGACGTCGTTCATGTCGGCGGAAAGTAATGCCTACCTATACGCATTTTGCAAGAGCACCTGTGGCTCCGTGGCTAACGCTATCGCTTCGTGAGCGCATGGTCCGTGGTTCAAATCTCACGCCGACCAAAACTTTTTTATATTTTTTTTTGCTTATAGCGTGATCTTATTGCATTGGTTTCACTTTTGGTTCGATTGGTTTAGTTATTTGGCGGGTTGGTTAGCGTGGTTATTTGGAGGGTGTTAATTCATTGCTTAGTTGGTTATTTGGTGGTGTTGGTTGGTTTTTACTAATTTATATTTGTTTTTTATATTTTTTTATCAGTGTCGAGGTTAGTTGCTTTGGTTAAGTTGGTTATTTGGTGGGGTGGATAGCGTTGGTTATAAAATTCCTATATTTCATAAAGCCCGTCAAGTGCGTCACATCAAAGACGTCATACCTATTAACGGCATTTTAGTAAGCCACCGTTTAACGGCAGTTTAAGTAAAGCCTTTCAAAAAACGTGCCATCTCTCGTGGGGAGATTCCTCATGTACAAATAAGATTTATTTTTCATATCAACATAGATCCGATTCTGCTCTGTTTCGTAGCTACAGGGTGTTAAAGTCTTAATATTTTTTCGATTTATTATAATTTTCTTCCAAGTACTTTTAGTGATTGGAATGAAATTTTGAGGGTAAAAGTTACCATTATTATTATAAATGCGACATATTTTAATGCTAAAAAAATGTCGACATATTCACCAGGGACGTGCATATGAGTTATCACTGGAATATTATAACGCATATGAGTTATCACTGCGATTTTTTTTAGATCGCTAGGAACTTTTTTTTTCTTGATAAAACAATGAATATTTACTTATTAAACTACTGTGGGTAAATTTAAATAAACTGCTACCTAATTGTTTTGATGAGGCGTATTCCGCCATATTGAAACAAGTTATTGACGAGAATTTTATTGAACACTAATTAGCTAATATGTATTATATCTGACTCACCCCGTAAAACCAACCAAACTTATCTAGGTTGGGCATAGATGGAGCCATGACAGCAGGTAAATTGTTTGCCATATTTAGTAAAGGATCTTCATGTCCTAAAATAAATATCTTAAATTTGTAGTTTGTAAACATTGATGCAATTAAGAAGTTAATTAATACTATATTCAGACAAGTTATTAACATTTCTAAAACTAAAAATGTGAATTTAGATATAAGTTATGCCCTGGCGGAAGACAGGTCTCGTGGTTTACATCAGCCAGGATAACAAGAGTGTACCCGACTCGTGAAGGAATAAAAGAGGGGAAGCGCTACAGCTGTGGCGAAAACGGCCATCAGAAATTAGCAAGTCATTTTAGTGGTAGTTTTGTGCCCTTAAAAAGCAAATTAATTTTGTGTGGTGATCTTAATATTGACTTTATCAGTGTATGTGCTGCTCAGAAGTTTCTTCAGTCCATTTTGATTCTTTTGGAATATCCATGCATGTAGGCTCACCTACCAGAATATCCAATACCAGTTCTAGTACTATAGACTATGTTGTATCATCTTTTGATCCTAACTCCATCGCCTGCAACGTCTTTAGCTCGGGTCTCTCTGATCATGAAGCAGTTTTAACTGAATTTTCGATGAAGTCCAAAATCAAAAATGCCCCTCGTAAATTATGCCGTATTTTTTCAAAAAAGAATGCTCAAAAGTTCAGCCACTTATGTAAAACAACCAACTGGGATACTAGCTTTTATGATGTCGACACCGAATTTTCTATTTTCGTAAAAACATTAACCAGTCTAGCGTTCAAATCTTTCCTCTTTTTAAAAAATTTTAAAAAATAAGCATAATAAACCTTGGACCACTAAAGGTCTACGCATATCTTCTAAAAACATGCGTTCATTATCTCACTTAAAAAAAATTTCAGACAGTCTCTTCTTCCACAATTACGTAAAACTATACAGAAAAATTTATCATAAGACTATAAGAGCCGCTAAGGACCTTTATTATAATAGGAGAATAGTCAATTCTGGTAATGTTGCTAAAGAAACATGGTCTATGGTGTATGAATTGAGAAACAAAGCTTCTTCGTCTAGCAATATCTCTACCTCACCTGAGAACCTTAACGATTACTTTGTAAATGTAGCGAAAAACTTAACTAATACCATATGTCCTCCTCATGATCCACTTTCTTATCTCTCTAATGATATTGTAAACTTACACAGTTTCTTTTTTCGCCCGTAGTTTTAGAAGAGCTTTGCAGTACAATTAATACCATCAAAAATAAATTCTCTTCTGGGACCGACGGGTTAACTTTAAGAATGTTTTCGAATCTGCCAGAAAGCACTCTGAATCACCTAACAACTTTAATAAACATGTCATTCCAAAATGGTATTTTTCCAAAATATCTTAAGACGGCAATAATCATTCCTTTGCATAAAGGAGGAGACAAAGATGAAGCTTCTAACTATCGCCCAATTGCACTCCTTCCAACGCTATCTAAGATCATAGAAAGGTTGGTTAAAAGAAGGCTGGTATCTTTTCTGTTTAAGTACAAAATACTTACTGAATATCAATTTGGATTTCTAAGCAACAAGTCCACAAATGACGCTGTTTTCCCTCCTTAATAAAGTTTACTCCAGCCTAAACAGCCATCATTCTACAGCAACAATTTTCTGTGATTTTTCTAAGGCGTTCAATTGTGTAAATCATGAGATCTTAATTAATAAACTGCAGCACTATGGGTTCAGGGGATCATCTCTCGAATGGTTTAAGTCGTATCTGAGCAACAGAAGTCAACTTGTGAGGGTGGATACCACGTTGTCTTCTAGCAAGCCAATAGAATGTGGAGTACCACAAAGCTCAGTACTAGGCCCTATTTTGTTTCTTCTTTTTATTAACGACATTGCTAACATAAACATCAGTGGCAAAATATGTCTTTTTGCGGACGACACTAGCTTCACTTGGAGCAACAAGGACATCACGGCACTTCATAGGATTATATCAAATGACTTAATCACCATTAAATCTTGGTGCGATTCGAACCTCCTGAGTCTCAACATTTCTAAAACTAAAGCTTTGTCGTATAAAAACTCGTTGCAGCCTTTTGTACTTAACAACACCACCATTGACGTCGTCAAATCTGTAAAGTTCTTGGGGCTTGTTGTGGACAATTCTCTGAAATGGGACATACATATCGAAGCTTTGTCGAAAAAATTGAGCTCTGCCTGTTTTGCATTAAGGTCTGTTTCTAAGGAGGTTAACTTGTCAGTAGCTAGAACTGTTTATTATGCACTTTTTGAGTCGCGCACCTCAGGTATGCCCTTCCATTCTGGGGTACGTGTTGTGCGACTCAATTTGACCATTTTCAGGCTCCAGAAGAGAGCTGTTCAATATTCACTGGGACTAAACAGCAGAACTCATTGCCGGGACTTTTTTAAAAAATTAAAAATATTGACTCTTCCTTCCTTATTTATATTTGAATCCGTTTGCCTAATACGTAAACATGTATCAGCTTCTCAAGAAAGGCCATCTCACACTTATCCACTCAGGAACGCGGAGCAAGATCTTTATCTACCTACCCCACGCTGAGAGTTAGTTAAAAGTTCACTATTATACAACTCAAAAAAAAATGTACAATCACCTGCCATGAAATCAAATCCATAACATCATTTTTTTCATTTCGCAAAGGATTGAACTCTTATTTATTAGACAAGGCTTTCTACGCCGTAAATGAATTATATTTTGAAAATCGAATTTGATCTTGTAAACACTGGTTTAATGTTTGCTATTGCTATATTTACTAATGACATCGAAATAAATTTATTTAGAGATCATTGATATTTACTATAAACTAAGTTAATATTTTTGAATATTATTGTTATTTTTTTGTTCTTTGACATTATAAACATTTATAAATGATTATTTTAACAATAAGACTGACAATATTATTTGTATAATGTTTTGTATTATCTTTTGTTTGTTTGGTTGTGTACCTTGTTTTTTTACTTTGTTTACCTTTGTCTACAAATTGAAAAATTTTTTGACAATAAAGGCATTTATTATTATTATTATTTATTATCATTTATACATTTTCCCAAAATTTAATATTTTTCATCGATAATATAAATGTTTTCGACTCGATATATAATCGTTTTCGACCACTAATGTTGTAACGTTTTTAGTTCGTTACATTTTTTTTGTATATGATATATGATGTCTGGCGTATCGTCACCGGATTCCGTATCGTTCAGGCCTGATAATTTGTTTGAGGCGCTTGGCGTAATTTTTGGCGTTCTCTAGTCAAAAACTCTCCGTTATATAACCTCACTTTTTGGTTTGCCGTTCGATCGCCATCAACAACCCGGCTTAGAGAAATTGCAATTATTAAAATCTTGCTGCATAATCTGAATCAGCTGCTATTTTGAAGCTACAGGTAAAGATGAGATATTATCTTTTTTAGATTCGATATTATGACTGGGTATTTTTAGGGTAGAGTTTTGGATTGACCCAACTTAAGTCGTATTTGTATTTTGCTGACACGTTGGTGTTCTTTTGCCTTTGTCCTCCAGAATGTTAAATGGAAGAAAGGACAGTTGCCTTTGTTCATTATAGAGCCCTCGGAAGTATTTCGGGGTAGGTTTATTGTGTTTATTACACCTTAAACGTAGGTTTTAAACACGAGTTTCGTATTTTTACGGTCCAAGGTACAGGTAGTGATTCCAAGGTACGGGTAGTGTTCCGAGGTACGGATAGTTTATCCTATAGACAGGTGTCCTAGGGACGGATATTCTATGTACGGAGAGTTTATCCTACGTTTAGATTGCCTCAGTATGGATGTAGCGTAAGGCCCATGCTGCTTTGCTCCTATTTTTGAGCCTAGTTGATAGTTACGGCTGTATTAGTTCATGGTGTCCTGATCCTGGCCTCTTTTGTTGTATTGGCCAACAGTAAAGCCGAGAGGGAGTGCAGAGATACAAGCCCAACTCATGCTGTACTATTTGAAGCAGGATTGTCTAAAGAACTAGCAGCTAAGTTTAATTTTAAGTTCTGGTTTTATGTTTTAGATTTTCTACATCTTCAGTCTTGAATAATATCGTACAGACTTTACGTTTAGTGGTTAAATTACTGATATCAGATTAGTATTTAAAATATGATTTAGATCTAAGTTTCTTTGCAAACATTACGTTTTATAATGGTATTACTTTCTATATATATTATTATTGCGTTATTTTAACAGGTGGATAACCAAACATAGATTCTAGAATCTACGGCTTGCAACATCTCAGATTCAACAACGTATAAAATTTAGCAAATTAAATAAAGTAATGCTACCTTTCATATATTTTCTATAACTTTACATGTATTGTGTTTTTTCATAGAAAATATTTAATACTCTTTTTAACATGACTTTCCTCGACATATAACCACTATAATTATTAAAATTGTACAATGCTATTTACCATCAGAATCCATCGTGAATAAATATAGTCATTAATATTAAGTAATATACATTTGTGTTTTCTTTCTCTGTACATGCCTGGCGGCCAATATTTATATTTTTGATTTTTTATTGCTAATTTGATTTTCTCCAGTGAAATACCTTATCCACGACTGCTCTACCGATGAAAAGCTGCCGTTCGCAGTGGTAATGTTTAAAAAACGTTATAATATAATGTATCGACTCGAAGAGATTCACTTAAGTAACAAGCATAAACAATGTCCCGTAGACAGGCCCGCAACTACCACAAAATTATCAAAAAAAATGGGTTACAATACGCACATACATTTAGTGGGATGCTATTACATTAGCGCAAGGCAAATTTTGCTTTTATTATTTGTGAAGTTTACGTTACCTCCTGATAAATTAGATCACTTTGCCCTGCCTCTAGGTCCCGTTTTTATTTTAAAGAAACATGCATTGTAGCGCCTACCCTCTCTTACTCCTCCATGATCAGACTAGAGTCTCTGATAAATACAGATTACTAGTATAATGGGAAACTTCGAATTCCTAGTTTTTTGCTATAGACGGTAGAGATAAAGAGAATTATCTTCGTGTCAATACACGAAGACTATTCAATAATAGTCATCAAAGAATCAATTAAAATGGCGCTACTGTAGTGAAATTTCTACATTTGAACGAAGCACCAAACATTTTTAAAACAGCCCATACAGGAGTCCCCGTAGTTTGACCACGGGGCCAAGCGTGGCTCAGTCGCGGGCCAATATAGACTTCGGCGCACCAAGATTGGTCCAAAGCTGGGTAATTCTGGGTTGGCCAATCCTATATTCACCCTATCTTGGGCCACGACTGAGAAATCAAGTCTTGGCCATTTCTTAATTCACCCAACTTTGGTCCAACACTGAGAATCTCATCTCTGGCCATATTACGGCGACCCAGCTTTGAACCAGAGTTGGTCAACCAAGCCTTGACCATTTTTTGGTGATTTAGACTTGACCCAATACTGAGAAATCGAGTCTTGCCCATCTCTTAATTCACCCAACTTTGGTCCAACACTGAGAATTTCAGCTCTGGCCATGCTACGGCGTCCAAGCTTTGAACCAGAGGTAGTCAACCAAGCCTGGACCATTTTTTGGTTATTTAGACTTGGCCCAATACTGAGAAATTGTGTCTTGCCCATCTCTTAATTCACCCAACTTCTCAGCTCTGGCCATGAGCTGGCTGGCTGGCCAGCTTTGAACCAGAGTTGGTCGACTAAACCTGGGCCATTTTTTGGTGATTTAGACTTAACCCATTGATGGAAAATCGAGTCTCGGTCATCTCTTAATTCACCCAACTTTGGGCCAGCATGGGTGGTCTCCTTGGCCGGACAAGCATTAAACATAAAATTCGCACATAAAGCAGGTATACGGCTGTTAAATGCTTTTCTTAAATATAATCTAAATATATGAATGTAATTATTTGTTTGTTAACTTTATTCCAAATTCTGGGTTCAAAAACAATTGTTTTTTTTGCTTCTGGGTCAAACTCGACAATTAAACTCTCGGCGATCAAACATGGCATGGTCTTGGCATTCAAAGCCTGGCCCGATGTTTTCATTCGAAACTTGTACCACAGTCGGGCCAAAACTGGTATACAAATATGACCCAATATTGGTGATCAAGCTTGGCCTAGACTTGGGGATCAAAATTGACCTGGTGTTGGTAATCAAGCTTGGTTTAGCCTTGGGGATCAAAATAGGCCTAGTGTTGATGATTAAGTTTGGCCGAACTCTGGTAATCAAGCGTGGCCCAGCCTTGGTGATCTAGGATAGCTTGTTCCAATTTTGACAACAAAGCCTGGCACGATGTTATCATTCAAGGCTATTCCCAAAGCTGGGCCAATACTGGTATGCATAGTTGGTCCAGATATTTACAGAATACTGAACCAGTTCTGTACCAAGACTGGGCCGATGGTTTGATCATGTATGGGAGGAAATGATTAAAGAGAGATCAATATGTAATTTCTGAAGGCGTGTGTTACCACTCTTTTTTGACTAGCTTTATTGATTCTTTTTTGAACCGCTAGATTCGATTCCTTATTCGATTATTCATTATTGTTATTATTAACACCACCATGGTCATTTATATATATATATATATATATATATATATATATATATATATATATATATATATATATATATATATATATATATATATATATATATATATATATATATATATATATATATATATATATATATATATATATATATATATATATATATATATAATGAACCCTTATTTTCTCCTCTTACGTGACCACTTTATCAAAGTCCCATAAGGGATGATTCTCCTTAACTCTACCCTCCATATTTTAGGAGACTCAGAAAGGTTCATTTTCTGTAATTTCTTCTGTGTTGTCACGTTGTCCTACTTGAAGCCATTTTATTTGATACATATCTATATATCATGGTGTCTTTTATGTTTGCCGGCTTTTTGATATTTTATTAATCTGTCGGATTTTTAAAGCTGACTATGTATACCTTTTCTATAAATACTATAAATTAGTTATCATTTTGGTATTAATAAATAAAAAATACTGATATTTAAATAATCAAATGATAAGGATAGGGACACCATAGACTTGAAAAGGTCACTAGAGATTAATCATAAATATTCATGGTATCATTTAAAATTCTTCTCTTGCTCAACTAGTATCTGCCATTTAAGCCAAAAAATGATATTCAGTAATTTTTTAATTTATAATTGGAGTATTGATAAACTATATTTCCAAAATAAAGTTTTAAATATATCCGATAAAAAACGGTATAAATATATGAAACAATTTTGTTTTATCCGGTGTAGATATGTTACCTTCAAAAAGCAATTCTCCTGCTGAATGTGTACCATAGATTTTAGCTGAAACTGAAGTTAATGTAAAGCTTAATGCTTTTTTAAACCAGTAACTCCATTTCATCGATGAAGATGCCGTAGACTAGAAATTAAAAAAATACACAAATTCTTTGCGTTAACAAATTTGCGTTATAACAAAACAATTGCGTTAACAAATTTTCCCAAAACATTATTTTTCTGTCAGAACCATGTCAGCTAAGCATTTTGTTTTTTTATCATGTCAATATATGCCTTGGTTAATTTTTAAGAGCGAAATGAACTTGCCACCAACAATTTGCAATTTTTTCAGTTATCATTTCTTGTTGAAGTTATTTTTCGATATGACAAGGTAGCTGTGGTAATTATTGTGATTATTGTGAACTATATATTACTATGAACTGCCCATCATGTTTAACGTTGGTGAAATGTTTGGCAAAAGGGTTAGAGGTCGCGAAGCGGTACCAGCTTCATTAAATAAGCGTGGCTTGGTCCTTAAAGAAGATTGAGAAAACATAACGCAATATGATATATGATGGACCTTGAACGGACGTATAGAGGCAGTTATAGCAGCCACAAGCAGCCAAGAGAGACAATACAAAGTATTAGAGTATTTTTTACAATTTTCAATTACAATACAAAGTTTTTTTTTCTGTTTTTGTACACAGTTGTATTACAGATGTTTTCTTTGTCTCTTCTTATATCGTTAGTTCTTTTATAGTTATTAATATTTATTAAAACCAGGACTGTATCGTAGCTCTTTAACGTTTTTCTTAATTTGGTATAGAGTATCCAATACACATCACCAAAGCCACCTCATCATATTGCAAAATATCATTTTGAAAATTTGAAAAACTGCAAATTGTTGGTGGCAAGTTCACTTCGCCCTTAAAAATTAACCAAAGTATATGTTGACATGAGACAAAAAAACAAAATGCTTAGGGCTCAGGAGACATGGTTCTGACAGAAAAATAATGTTTTAGGAAAATTTCTCACGAAATTATTACACAGGTTGATTTAAAATTAAGGTAACAAACACCATTCGATAAACCCTGTATAATAAAACCCAATACTAAAATTTATACAAAACTGAGTTTAGGAATTAAAGTTGATATCCAGTTTACCAAAAAAATCATGAAAATTAGGCTAGAAATAATAAAAATTATGAAATAAACAAAATTCTTACAGCTTTAGTGTATATTAATAAATAATATTTTCTTGCCTTTAGCTTTGTATTTTTTTCTAATTTCGGAAAATCGAAAGTAGAGAAAAAAAAATAAAAAGTAAAAAGAAAATTGTTTTGCTTGTCGTAAAGGGAGGAACCAAGCTCCACTCCCACAACCGGTTTCTGGGCCTACCCTTCATCAGGTGGGCTGTCCAGGAGCTGGTTCTCACTGATACGGCAAGCAAAGCTCTTCCAATACCAATAAACGATGCAGTAAAGTGTCGGTGAGATATTAACGCATCTCCCGTCAAAAGATGGTAAAGAGCGTTTTTCGGCCCGCTCAAATATTATAAAATGAACAAAATTCTTACAGCTTTAGTGTATATTAATAAATAATATTTTCTTGCCTTTAGCTGTGTATTTTTTTCTAATTTCGAGAAATCGAAAGTAGAGAAAAAAATAGAAAGTAAAAAGAAAATTGTTTTGCTTGTCGTAAAGGGGGAGCCAAGCTCTACTCCCGACTCCTAACCTAACCGGTTTCTGGGCCTACCCTTCATCCGGTGGGCTGTCCAGAGGCTGGTTCTCACCGATATATTTACTTTTTTTCTCTACTTTCGATTTTTCGAAATTAGAAAAATATACACAGCTAAAGGCAAGAAAATATTATTTATTAATATACACTAAAGCTGTAAGAATTTTATTCATTTCATAATATTTGAGCGGGCCGAAAAACGCTCTTTACCATCTTTTGACGGGAGATGCGTTAATATCTCACCAACACTTTACCACATCGTTTATTGATATTGGAAGAGTTTTGCCTGCCGTATCGGTGAGAACCAGCCTCTGGACAGCCCACCTGATGAAGGGTAGGCCCAGAAACCGGTTGTGGGAGTGGAGCTTGGTTCCCCCCTTTACGACAAGCAAAACCATTTTCTTTTTACTTTTTATTTTTTCCCTACTTTCGATTTTTCGAAATTAGAAAAAAATACACAGCTAAAGGCACGAAATTGTTATTTATTAATAATAAAAATATGATACTTGACGGTAAAATTTTCCGTTACTTTTTTTGCATCTGAGTGTATAGATAACAAAACTGTTGAATAGGTGCATCCCTAGAAACTAAATAAAGTAAATTGACTTGGTTTTACACGAGATCTCACAACTTTTTGTAGACGAAGAATTGCATTGCGGGACTTGACATTTGTTTACATTCTGTTTGTGATGCTCTCTCATTTCTTTTTTGTAGGTCATTCTCTTATTTTTTTGCGGGTAATATACATTTCAAAATAATATTAATGAAGTTTGACAAGCAAAACCATTTTCTTTTTACTTTTTATTTTTTTCCCTACTTTCGATTTTTCGAAATTATAATGCTAATATCAAACGGTGCTAATATCAAACGGTAATTTCAAACAAGCCAATTTTTTTTTTTCGTAGAAATTCGAATACGTTTGAAATATAAATGATGGTTGATGGAATAATAATATATTTTTACAAACACATCAGCAATATTTAGTAGGTACACATTATGCTAAACTAAAGTAGCTCTTACCAATGCAATAGGGTTAACGGTAGTTACTTGATCGTCTAAACTTCCTTTACTTTGTTTCGAATTGAACCACCATGTCTTTAGATGATAAAACGAAACGGTATCATTTGCATTCCAAGTTATATTGGTTTTTACTTTTGTTTCGTCAAATATATAGGGCCCTAATTCCTTAAATCTTGGTTTGATGGTACTAAAAACAAACAAACCAAATTATCACAAAAGATGCCAGAAATACATGCCTGTTCAACAATTTATGTGTAGAAAATTTACAATATTCTTTATTTTGTAGTGATTAAAAGTTTCTTTTTGTTAAAAAAACAATTATTTAGATATAGAACAGCTAATGCTAAATAGAGACACTATAAAATAAAATTACTCATATTGCAGAAAACAACCAACTTTTTAGAAGCCGAATTTTTATTATATTGCATATTTAAATTTATGTTTTGAGCTACGCACTCCCATTATCTTGTATCTCTACCATTATTTCCACTACTTAACACCAAAGACACCTGAATATACGAAAGGATATTGATTTGTAATGAAGATTTTAAAACTTCATTACAAAAAAAAAATCGAAATGAAGTTTTAAAATCTTCTTTCTATCTATCACTAATTTACTAAAATTTAAAGATGGATATGATTCAATCATAACAATTTGTTACACTTATTCCAAATCGGTAGTCGTTAACTAAATGATAAGATCATTTAGTTAATATAATAGACTCTTAAGAAGAGTCTATTACGCTGTACTGTTCGGGTCGCTCTCAGGGGTCGGGTAAAGCGGGTGTGCGGCCGAAGGAAATATATATTACTATTGTGTAGCCGCGACTTCGTTCGCGTCGAATTAATCATTTGTAATGATGATGATAAAGCAAAGCAAGAATTTCCATTAACATACAAACTGGATAAAATTTTCTCACATTTATGTCAGCATGAGAAAAAACAATATGGCGATATTATTATATAACTTGGTAATATTTGAGGGGTAGTTTCATCTCGTTGGAATTTGACTTTCGAAAAATCCGTTTGCCAAAAATAAGCTTTTTACGTCAAGCAGTTTAAGCAGAATCGTGATTAAGAAATTACCCAACTTTTGGAACACCCTGTATGAATTTTGAAAAAAAATTCAAAATATGTAAAAAACCAAATAAATTATGCTTATCCGAGCGTTTTCCCGAAAGACTAGCCGTTCTTTAAATAACAAGTATTGTAATATTTGAGGAGCGTTTTCACCCTCTTGGAATTTGAGATTCGAGAAACCCCTCCTTATCGAACCTCTACACGCCACAGTCAATCCGTTTGCCAAAAATCAGCTTTAAACGTCAAGCAGTTTAAGCAGAATCGTGATTACTCAATGGTCATATTTTATGAAACACCCTGTATAAATTTATAAAAAATCTTAAAATATGTAAAACAACAAAATAAAATATACGTGTTTAAGAGTTTTTTTCCGAAAAACTCACCGGTTTTTAAATAAAAAATATTTTAATATTTGAAGGATAGTTTCACCCCCTTAGAATTCGAGTTTCGAAAAATCCCTTCTTATCGAACCTCTACACCCTAAAGTTCTGATCTGTTTTCCAAAAATCAGCTTTTTACGTCAAGCGCTTTAAGCAGAATCGTGATTAATCAATGACCAGATTTTTTGAAACACCCTGTATACATTTCTAAAAAAATCCTAAAATATGTAAAAAAAAACAAAATAAAATATACGTGTTTAAGCGTTTTTCGGAAACTTGACCGTTTTTTAAATAAAAAATATTGTAATATTTGAGAGGTTTGGTTTGGTTAGTTTCACCCTCTTGGAACTGGAATTTCGAAAAATCCCTTGTTATGGAACCTCTACACCCTAAAATCAACCTGTATGCCAAAATTGAGCTTCTTACGTTGAGTGGTTTGAGCAGGATCGTGATTAATCAGTATGTCAGTCACTTAAGGATTTTATATATTAGTATAGATAAAAATAACTAAAAAACTGGCCATTAAAAATTAAAACTGCTTTAATTAAAAAAAATAGAAAATTCTATGTTAAATATTTCTCTCACATCAATCATTAACCTATTAACCCGGTATCGGTCGCACTGTTAGATAAAATCTAACATTTTTAGTTTTTTAGTTATAAAAACTGAGATATTGGTTTTAAATCCTTTTCCCTTTAGGAATGATTTTTTTTTAATTTTCTCTAAAACGGTATGGAAATTTGGAAAAGTATAAAAGGGATTAACCATTTTAGAATAAGCAAAATTTGTTTATGAAGAATGCATTTTTTTCAAAATATCAATAATAAAAAAGTTTTTCCTCTTGTAAAGACAATCCGGGGACATACTGTATACAGGGTGGTTCGAATTGTATTCGGGAAACTTCAGCAGCACTAAAAATGTTCATATACATTTATGTCGTATAATGATTCGTTTCGGAGATACATTCGGTGTAGAAGTTTTATTCTTATTTCGATTTTTGCAAATAATTTCTTAACCAATGTCTATATTTGGATGAAAATTGGAGTTTGGGAGTTTTTTGACATAAGAAATTTTATTTCGGTGTCAATATGACTCCTACTTGTAGGGGCACCAACTACATATTTTATAACTGTCATGAAGACTAATAAATTTTCATCCATTTGGATGAAAATTATCCACCTTAGTTCAGAAATTATTTGAAAATAATCGAAGTAAAAATAAAACTTCTGCCTTCTGCACTGACGAAGCATTTTCGGACTTAATACATATTTTTACTTATTTGTTTTATCTGCAGAATATGCTGCCAAAAGAAAATTGGCTTCGCTATTAACTTTTACTTTTAATCTAGGAGAAAGAAGTGTGACAAATATTGTATAAAACACTACTTTTTCCTACTGCTTAATTGAAAAATATAAAATGTACGAGTAAATAGCAAAAAGACTCTTCGCATTTTGCGCATTAATCCGTCATTCTAATATACGGTGTTAGATTATTGCGATCCGGCCTGATGTACTTCTTTTCTTAGAGCTGAAACGCACTACCCGCATAGGCCGTAGGTTGTTGGCTGGTCGCAGCAGTAATAGCTTTAAATCAAATGATACAACGCGTACTACCGTCTACAACTATGGTCCACGACCAAGCCGACCAAGATTTAAATTTTCCTTTGATCCAAATACACTAAAACACTATATCTTATAGAAAATTTTGCGTTAAATTTGAGGGATTTTCATCTGAAAATTATTAATTTGGAAGAAAAGCAGCAACAAGCGGCAGAAAATAATAATATTTTAGTGCAGTCTACTGGTCGCAGCGACCGGCCAACGGCCAGGCTTGGTCATGGTCATTGTGGGCGTTGTATCATTTGATTTAATGGTATTACAGGGAGCAGCGACCTGGTCGTCAGTGCGTTTGAGCCCTTGCACCCCGTTCTACATAGACGACGAATCCGCGCGATACGAACGATACGACCAAAGCGACGTTTAGGCTGCCATTAACTAGGCGATAAATTAGCAATCCGATCGAGAGATCTAGACGCTCTCGATCAAATTGTCGAAAGATCTCCAGGTTAGTGCGTAATTTGAATCAAATTGAAGGAGATATTGTGGTTGCCAAGCAATGTTTTGATTAAAGGCCCCCATTCACTGGGCGATTTTGTAGCAACCAAGTTGAGCGATAAAATTGCTTCTAAATTTCTTGAAAATTTGGTTGCTTGGAACAGACTATTTATAAGGCAACATTCCAGCAATGTGGTTGTAAATCAATTTTTCTGGAAATGAATCGAGAATTTCCGACACTCTTCTATTCACGTATTAAATAATAAAAATAGTTAAGCAACTTGGTTGCCGACGTCCACTGATTGGGCGATCCTCGTACAACATCAACAAATTGCTTGAATGTCGCCTTATAAATGCTCCGTTCCAAGCAACCAAATTTCCAAAAATTTAGAAGCAATTTTATCGGTCAACTTGGTTGCTACAAAATCGCCCAGCGAATGGAGACCTTTTTGATTCAAAAAACGTTTTCTTATGAAATCGTCCTGCGTCGACGATGCAGGACACTTTCATAAGTATAGGTAAGAGAGCTAATTCATAAGTTTCATAAAAATTATTGCTTTATCTATAGATAAAGCTATATATAAATCTCATTGCTTTGTTGTCTCTTTACTTTTTGGTTGTCGCTGTTAACTGAGTTTACAATTCTTCTTCATTGAGTTGTATTGTGAACTGCTTCTTCCCAATGATTCTGCATGTTAATCCCCTTTGAGTTTTCGTGGAAAATGTCTTTGTACCTTTTAAGTTGTCCACCCGGCCTCCTCTTACCGTCTACAAGCTCACCGTAAAGCAGAGATCTTGGTATGCGGTTTTCTTGCATTCTGCATACGTGACCAGCCCATCTTAAGCGGGATTTTGTAACATGACTTCAATACTCTCGCAGTTAGCTTTTTCAAGGGCCGATACGCGACCATTAATTCAAATGATACAACGCGTATTATGGGCTCAAACGCAGTGACGACCAGGTCGCAACGACCAAGCGGTCGCAGCTTGGTCGCTTGCGACCTATATACCTACACTTATGAATTAGCACTGTTATCTATGCTTATGAAAATGTCGATTTCCACTTGACTTGAGTACCACTTGAGTACCACTTGAGTACCACTTGAGTACCACCTAAGTTCCTTTTCCGAAGGACACTTGAGTAGGGGGTTTCCAAACCGGCATCCTGGTTAATGTTTATCGCCGAAATCTGGATATTAAATCCAGAAAACTTCCAAAAATTCTATTAATATTAAGTCCAATCTACAATGATTAGACTTTATACACTTTAGTCTTTCGAATTGAGGGGAGGGGGTGCAAAAATGTCAAAAGTTGACATATGATATGTCATTTCTATTCAGAGTGTCATTTTCTATCGAAAAAAGTAAAAAAATACCGAGTGTCATTTTGAATATCAAAAGTTGTAGTCATTTCCGGTGAAACAGGAAGTGACAAAAAACAATAATTGAACAAGTCAATCAATCCTAATTTATGTCAGATACTAAAATACCAAATCTCGATTTGTTATCTGAAAAAATAAAAAAGTAGGAGTGAGCCAATTTTGAGACGCACCCGGTATAATATCATCCGTATATTATTTCTTTAAATTAATATTATTTAAGTAACCAAATATCTATATTGATTTGTATTCATTTGCAATATGAGTAAAATATAATGAACTTCACATTATTACTATACAATTAATTTTTAACTTACTGATTGTTTAAATCGTGAGCATTTGTCCAATTAAATAGATATAGCTTCAAAGTCAATGGCACCGGATTTTCTTTCCATAAATTATATGTTATAGAATTTGGCTGCATAGTGGCCAACATACTTAAAATGTAATTAAAAACAATAGTCCGAATAGAAATAATTACTATTCCAAACACTACTAAAAAAATTGATGTTCCACATAAGCACAAACATCTTCTTAGCGATTTCTTGTAGTACATCCTTGAATCGGGCTGCACCTAAAATAAGAAAATAAGTTTTTTTTAATTATGTATGTTATATTGAATGGTCAAAATGTGATAATTTTTGTTGATTTAATTTTGAAAGAAACTTTTTCATTATTTGATACTAGATTTTGATTTTGAAAAGTGGGCCATAAACATTTACAGTTAAATAAATCCCATCAAAAACATAGAATGTAAAAAATGCAATACCATTCCTCCGCTATAAAAACTTGTGAGATCTCATGTAAAACCAAGTCAATTTATTTTATTTAGTCTCTCTTTAAGCACCTATTCAACATACAATTTTGTTATAAATTCTTAGTATCAATATTAGCCATCTTTATTTCTATAATAATTATAATGACTTGGCAATTGCATGCACGGTACCATAATTATAAAAAAGAATAATCTACTATTTAATTACTATTGAATATCATATCATGCAATTGCCAAGTCATTATAATTATTATAGAAATAAAGATGACTAATATTGATACTAACAATTTATAACAAAATTATTGAATAGGTGCTTAAAGAGAGACTAAATAAAATAAACTGACTTGGTTTTACATAAAATCTCACAACTTTTTATAGCGGAGGAATTGTCTTGCGAGACTTGACATTTTTTTACATTCTATGTTTTTGATGGGATCTTATTTCTTTTTCTAGGTTCTAATTTTATTTTTTTTTTCGGGTCATTCAAAATAATATTAAAGAAGTTTGACTATAATTCATAAACTTTGAATTATCGTATAATTAATTAAGTCAGATAATATCAGTTGAATTAATTCTAGTTTTCTAACTACTTGTGTTTCCGACTTTCGTTACAACTCAAATATCAACTTTAAAAATGTTCAATTCATGATTTTACCAATGCTTATTCAAAATTATTAAAACATATTTGTCAATTTTACACATATTTTATTTTTTATCTCGAAAACTATAAGAGAATATGAGAGTAGTTTTCTCTCAAAAATGTAATAATATACTTCTATTTAAAATAACAAAGTAAACACTGTAACGCCGATAATATTTTAGATAGATGTAGCAGGTGTCTTTAGTAGTTCTGTATAGAAATATTTTTTTTTAAACAAGTGCTTGACTAGAAAAAATTGATAATCCTTGAATTATTGTTTAAGATATGTATTTAATATTTTACAATCAGAATATTAATGAAAATTAAATTAAAAAAGAATTATGCCCCGAGGCAGCCTCGAATTCGGGTCTCCCGGTGTACTTGTGGAATACTTTCGCGCCGCGCTATCAAGCTTTGCTCTATATATATTCAAGCCTAGCATTTAACATATTAAACTAAAAAAATAAATAGGGACTTCATTACAAGTTAAAATCTGACTAGAAAAAAATCATAATCCTTGAATTATTGTTGGTACATTGATATATAAATAAAATCAGAAGAGACCGCTCCGATTCTAGTTTTCTACCTTTTTCTCAACTGGAAAGTCAGTTACCGGTAGCGGCTAGACAGCTAACTTTTAATCCATAAGGATATTTCGAGATTTTTACTTTTTCCTTTGGTTATAAGCTTAAAGCTACCTAAAATTCTAAATTTGGAGTTTGTGACACATCTAGAAGTATCTTAGAATTTTGATGATCTGTCAATGAGTCAATGTAGAAATTAAAGAAATTTGACAAGCGATAATTCATAAACTATGAGGGATAATTACTAGATATTTTGGTAACCTAGCCAGCTATTGTATATCTTCTAGTGTAGTGAAAATTAATATTCTTGCTTTATCCACAACGAAGTTACAGGGTGGTCAAAAGTGCCGCTAAAACCTTCGAGAAAATGATGGTACGGCTGTGCTCGACTTGGCGGGCAGATTAAAAAAAAAATAATTTAATACAAAATGTACGAAAATGTAATCAGACTGTATGGTACCTAATTTTATGGAACGGAGAATGTAATAAACAAGCGTTTAGTTTTTAAACTGATGACCTTATAAGTAACTCAATATAAATTTATTACTTGTTTTGTTTCATGTAGTATTCATGAATAAATATATTCAATATTTTTATCCTCAAAAAGTATGCGCGATGGCGTTTATTTTTACAGGATACAAAAAATATAGTAAATACTAGAAGGAACATTTACGAAAAAAAAATCTGTCGTCGGTGGTGTTGGAAAATATTTATACAAAAATTTATGTAGGGGTGGGGGTAGTTTTCATCATTCCAGTACTTTTCGTATGTTTGCGAAAGTCAAATGTTAAAGCACTTAGCAAAATATAAACACCCAAAATCTCATTCAAACCGGAATAACGGTTCTTAAAATATCTGAAAAAATGTGTTCATTTTTTTAAAGGACTTTTGTATAGACGTAAATTGTGTCCAATGAACTTATTTTAATTCCAAAAATACGTAGTAGTTTTATGTCCACCGAATATTGGGGCACCCTGTATATTTTCGAAGGCTACTGGCGAGGGGTGTCTCACTATTGGAATTACATGTACATTTTCTTGGCAGTCGCTGGCAGTCACTGGCAGTCTTATGACAGTCTCCTATAATAATTACATGGCAGTCATAGGCAGTCTTCTTCATAGTCATTGGCAGTCGCTTAGCAGTGGAAGGATATTTTGGCAGTACGTGTACATTTTTTACCCGAGTGAGACACCCCTCGGTTACTGGATTGAAAAGTTGTAGAGACATTATTAAAACAACATGTAGTTTTCACAGTCATGCCACTCTAGATTAAAATTTAGAATACTAATTTTTAAGTGCCAAATGTTAAAAGTTGACATATGATATGTCATTCTATTCGGAATGTCATTTTCTAAATAATAAAATAAAAAAATACTGAAGGTGCTGTTTCAGAATCAAAAGTTGTAGTAATTTCCAGTGAAATAAGAAGTGAAAGAAACTAATTGCATGCGTCACTTAATCCTGAGTTATGTCATATACTAACATAATACCAAACCTCCTTTTTTTATTTTGATAAAAAGTGAACAGTTTTGAAAAACACCCCGTATATGTTGATATTTCTCCAGAGTTATTAAAAACTGGCACTTGTAAAGTCTTTGACTAAACATGATTATAAATACATATAGAAACAGTTTTAATGAACTGTGAAAACATTTGTTAATGAGGTCGATTAATTAGTAACTTAACTTGATCTCATTAAGTAAATAATTGTTAGAGCACTCTGAAAACGCATTACGTAGCTTCTCTCATTGCAGCGACGTTTTATCGACATCGGTTTAGTTTTCCCAGGAGCTAAGCTGCACGAAAGAGTTTTTAATAATATTTTATGATAGCACTTAAATGTTTGACAAAATTTGTATTCGTGCTCTTAAGTTAAAAAGCTTTTATAGTAATAGGCCATAAATTACTGGCTATTTTACGAATCTGGCTATTATGTGAATACAGTTGGATTATTCGTAATTTGTTGTAAAGATATAGCTTAGCTTTTATGAATATAGTAACGATATTTTCATCAGTAAAAAAAAGTGAAAAATAGTATAGCTCCATGTGCTTGCAATCACTTAGAATCACATTGCAGATTTTTAATTTCAGACAAATAACTCGTCAACATTTTTGTCAATAATTACATGTATTGATAAATTATTTTATTCCAGCTATCTTGAGAACGAACGGTTAGTCGTAGCGATTTTTACATAGAAGCATTTCTTACTTAAAAAAAAACGGCGGAAGTGTTCATTTTTTCACTCAGTTGTTTTATACAGGTACAGATGAAAAACAATTTAAAATTCACAGATTTTGCAACATGCGCAACCATCATAAGCGTATTGAAAATACGAGACACAAGTCGGCGGTTGTCGGCAATCACCTGTTTTTTTTTACATTTTATATTAACTTGTGATGTCATTTGGAAGAGCTCAATAGAAATATAAAAGAACTAAACCTTGTTTGGAAAGCAATTTGACATTCGTGACGTCAGCACTCCGGCAGTCTAACGTAAACGTATTGCTAATCGCCATTCACAAATATATTCCAGATAGGTACGTATAGTGAACAAGTGAACCATTCGCAACGTTAAATAATTTTGATATTTGATTTTTATCGTGATAGCGTTTTGTAAAAGTGAAGATTTCAGTGAGGAAAATATTAATGATGAAGATGACCGTGTGCGGATTCGTGAGGAAAATATTAATGATGGAGATGACCGTGTGCGGATTCGTGAATGGTCACGATCACGGTCACGACACTATCGCGAAATATGCAAAAAAAGGAGTCAGTTTAGATTAGGTCTATATTTTTATTACTGCAAAACCAACTAAAACCTAATTCGAACCTAAACTCACTCCCTCTTTTGCATATTTCGGGCTATTACCTAGGTATTCCTAGGTTTAACCAATGTTCGAACTTAAGGTGTAAATTTATGGATGGTCCATAAATTTATATTCGCCGTACAAAAAAATTGCTTTTCACCAATTTTTACAATAAAAATTGAAAATTATATATCATAATATTTTTTATAGAAGTGATCGAAAAAGGGTGAACGGGGTGCCGGTAGACCAAGAAGATACTTGGAATGTAAGTGTTAATTTATACTCGAATTGAGTTGCCTCACAGTATAGGCATATTTTGAACCCCTACCATGCATAGTTACTGTAGATAAAAATAAATTAAAATATAGTTGGCTCCAACGATAATTTAGTTTACAGCTTCTTTTCATCATACCTAATAAAAACCGTCACAACCACTACTCATATTTTGTACCTATGTATTTTTAAACATCATTATAAGATTTAAGATACATAGGTGCCCATAATATAGGTTTGGTTAGGATTTTATTATGATGAAAATAAGCAGAAAAATATATTATCCATTGCAGCAACTATACCTAGTTTACATTCAGTATGTCCAATTAATATAGAACATTATGTATTTTTCCCCATTACAATAAACATAGCTTACTAAATCACTAGCTAGCCATTTTTAAATACAGGGTGTTAATTAAGTATCTGAACAAACTTCAGGAGGTGATTCTTTGAGTGTTTTTAAGGTAAAAAGTTCATATAAATATGTGTCCGGAA